ATACATTAAAGCAATAGTCGGTTTTTCTACATTTATAATAAAAGGTGTGACCTCAGTTACGAATATCTTTTTATATTAGCTTCTTCGAAATATGGTGGCTATAGAAATTACACAAGTCAGAAGTCCTGAAAAAATATGCAAATAATTGAATAATTAGCGAGAATAAAAAATAATGAGACTAGACTTAAATATCAATAATGTCAGATTGACTAAAACAAGGCTTTTAGTTTCAGAAATACTTGTCGGCGTGAATTCGAATGTTGATCGGACTCTAAATGCTTCTTTTTGCATGAATCCCATTCTACACATTATATTTTTCTCTGGCACATATCTATTTCAAGAACCACATCTACAAGAACACATACCAACAGAAAAACTCCCTCTTATTTCATTCATATCTACTTTCGATACAGCGAATATAAATTCTTTGAGTGATGTTTTTCGGGAAATGTACTATTCAAATATTGTACACGTGCAGAAAAGCCATTCCCACACTTTATTTAAATTATTTTTCAGTTCTTTGCCACTGTTAGCTCATATTCAAACCCATCAGATCTACACTGTTGACGCTTATCCGATGAATCCCAACAGCCTGAAGCTTTCTTTCAGAGAATTTTCCAGTGCAGCGACCAGCCGCTGTCACGTGTAATCTTATTCTCCATTAAGATCATCCGCTTTGATTTACACTCTATCCAATTTCCGACTGCTCTTACTTCGAAAAAATAGTTAGATTTATAACATGAGAATCTCGATGGGCAGTCCGGAATCGACACTTTGTTATGAACTATTCCTTATTTCTTCAACCCCATTATCTACCTGGAAAGTGACAGTTTTATTAGAATCCCTAATTAAGGTAATCTTAGTGCAGTATTCTTAATAAACCTAGCTTTCATATAAATCTTTTCCGGAGCGTATGAGCAATGCGCTTGCAATATCAACGACTAGTCGTTCATCTGCGCTCCTGCGGGGCGTCACTCATGGCTAATCGCTTCATTATTTGAATACATTAAAACAATAGTTCGTTATTCTCCATGTACCGTAAAAGTTGTGACCTCATTTACAAATACCGTTTTACATTGACTTCGTCAAGTTAAAACCCCTGATTGGCTGAATGCCCAATATTGAAAATTCCTGATTGGCTGGAGTTTCAATATGATTGGTCGATAGCCCGTGGTGGAAAACTTATGATTCAGTGATTTGTTGGAGCGAACATGTGACTTCGTGATCTTGTTTTTTTTTAACCTTTGTGCTCTTTTGACCTGGCACAAACTCCGTCCACCACAAATGCTTTTAGGGTTTTTTCGTATCAACCTTTCTTCAGTCGAGAAAAAAAGCAAACGAAAGTTGGAAAGAATAACGATAAGACAAATGACGTTGTTGGATTTTTCTCTTTCGTTTGTTGTTGACAAACATACTTGCACTTGAAAGTAAGTGACGTTTATCTTTGAGTGTTAACGGAAAAAACCACTCACATTTGACGTCATAGAAAAATCTAGAAAAAAAACCAACAGCGACTCTATAAATAGAGAACAGTGATCTCTGTCCAAACAGTTACCAATCATCCACAAGAATTCATTGCTGATCTAACAAGAAAAATTATATCCAAATGGGTGGACAAAAATCCAAACAAAATACAACAGCCTCATCAGCTATCATGCGACAAAGACGACGCATGGCTGAAAATTATCTGGTTATCTGGGTCGATGGTAATATCGACATGGCAAATGAAGATTGTCGACATACTCTTGTGCAATTGCGCTGTGTCGTTGATAACGTCATCACATGCACAACAATCGAACAATGTATCGAGAAACTCCAGAAAAACAATGAGAAGTCAACATTCGTCATCTCCTCTGGTGCACTTGGACAACATCTTGTACCAAGTATTCATGGAATCCCAAAACTTGATGCCATCTACATCTTTTGTGGTGACAAACAACGGCATGAAGTATGGGCCAAAAACTGGACAAAAATAAAATGTGTCCATACTTCAATCAAACCAATATGTCAAGCCTTAGAAATGGCTGCCAAACAATGCAATCAAGACCGAATAACAGCCAGTATTGTTGATATCAATGAAGGAGGTTCTAGCGAAAATCTTAATCAGCTAGAACCATCCTTCATATACTCACAAATATTCAAGGAAATACTCCTTGATATGAAACATGGCCAAAAACCCATCAAAGATTTGATTACATTTTACTCAGAACAATATCAGGGCGATACCAAAGAAGTCAAGCTAATCGATGAATGTCAACGTACCTATTACCCAACATTGATGATATGGTGGTATACATGCCAATGTTTCACGTTCAAAATGCTCAATCGAGTCCTAAGAACACTTGATGGTGATATAATCATCAGAATAGGACTTTATCTATGCGATATCCACCGGCAAATTGAACAATTACACAGCAGGCAGGTCAGTCTCTATAAGAGGAAGGCATTTCAAGTTTATAGAGGCCAAGGATTATCGACAACAGATTTCGAAAAACTCGTCAAAAACAAAGGTGGACTTATATCCTTCAATAACTTTTTATCCGCCAGTAAAAATCGTGATGTCTCCCTTCGTTTTGCCAAAGATGCCTTACGAACAACCGATATGGTCGGTATTCTTTTTCAAATGACCATAGATACCATTGTCTCATCGACTTTCTTTGCCTCCATCCGAGAGATGAGTTATTTCAAAGAAGAAGAAGAAATTCTCTTTTCAATGCACACAGTTTTTCGAATTGGTGACATTCGACAAATTGACAACAATCGTCTGCTTTATGAAGTGGATCTTAAACTTACGTCTGGTGATGACCAACAACTCCGTCGATTAACCGATTGCATACGACAAGAATCATCAGGTAGCATTGAGTGGCATCGTATGAATAAATTGCTACTTAAAATAGGTCAAGTCAACAAGGCTGAAGAACTGTATATCGCACTGCTAGAACAGACATTCAACGACAGTGACAAAACACATATCTATTACCAGCTTGGAGGGTTGAAAGACGGTCAAGGTCAATACAAAGAAGCAGTTTCATTTTATGAAAATTCTCTCCAAACCAAGCGAAAAAAGTCCCTGAAGATCATCTTTCATTGGCTTCTTACTACAGCGACTTCGGTCTACTATACAAGAGTATGGATCAGTGTCCGAAATGAGGTCGCTCCAATCAACGTGATTTGTCAGGAGCTCGGGTCAAATCACGTTGATTGGAGCGACCTCATGTCGGACACTGGTATGGGTGACTACTCGAAAGCACTTGAATTTTACGCAAAATCACATGAAGTCTTAGAAAAAAATCTGCCTCAGAATCATCCTCATTTGGCTACTTCCTACAATAACATCGGCATGGCGTTTAGCGGCACAGACAACTACTCGAAAGCCTTTTCATTTCTAGAAAGGGCACTTGCTATTCTACGAAAACCACTCTCCTCAAGACATCCTCTAATTAAAACAACGATAGATAATATTGATTATGTAAAAAAGATGTAAATTTGTTTTTTTTTCACTGCCTTGTTCAATAAATTGCTTTTGATTGTTACTCACTCTTCTTTTCGGCTTTTCTCGGCTTATTATCGTGTGCACGCGCACGATCAAGGAGATCCTGTGTGAGCCTTAAATAGGTACACGTAGAGCGGACCACACCGAACGAGTAGGGCAATGAACATAGGTTTGATGTCCAATAGCGACGACAGGAACCTACGAACACAACTGCTTCCCAAATACTACACTGCTTTCGCCATAACAGATACAAGGAATTTTTCTAGATCAGGTTATGAAGCATCTGACAGGCTGTGATATAATATGGTACCTCACATTACTACACAATAACATAGCTATCACCAAAGAAGCATAATATAACATATAAAAAGTTTTTTTTTTTTTTACTGTTTTGTACTATGATTAATACATGCATGTAATGTATTTAAAGAAGAAATTATTCCATCTGCAATAGATGACATGTCTACCTTATCGATAAAAATTATCCGTAGAAGTCCTATTGGCCACTAGAACGTCTGTATTTGATATCCCTTAGCTCAATTTGAAACATAAATTAACTTAGCTTACACTATTCTATTCTTTATTTCTTCTGAATAAAAAAATAACTTCAAGCAATATACCTTTCTTGCTTTTTGTATTTGTGATGTAAATTATATCATTCATCATAAATTAATAAAAAAAAATGTTTTCTTTATGAATAATTTACTTTAACCCTCATTGGTCTTCATGTTGTATCATCATCACTTAATGGTAGTTGCCATAAACATTCAGTTGAATTCGATCGATATCAATATTACAAATAATATAAATATGTTAAATTCTTTATCTTTAGCGAAACAATAATTTATATAATTTCGACGTTTTTATCTTTCTACAGTTCGGCATATTTATTATTTGATGTTTTTAACCTATCTGTATTTTATTTTTTGAGATTTCTACATGCTACATTTTTATTGTTTGATTTTCGACATTTTTCTCTTCGATCAACGTTGAGTTAATAATCAATGTTATTTTTAACTTGAATAGAAAAAGACTAAATTATATAATTTTCTGACATATCCTTTTACGAAGCATGACAGTCACTGTCATTCGATGATAAATAATGATAATATCCAGATGATTATTACAATTCTTTTCAATTATTCTATTGAAATAAATTTATCAACCCTTCTACATTATTATTTATTATGAAAAATAACCAAATATTTATTGAACACAATCTAATATGTATCTGTTTTGTTTTTTTTTGTTAATTGAAATGTTATACATTCGTTCACTGAGTAAAGCATTCTTCGGTTCGCTTTGCCATCAAATGACGACGTGTACTCGAAGTAGAAAACAATTAACAGAACATTAGCAAAACTGTCCAAGTAAGAAACGAACAATCGTACACACACATACACACAAGAAACACAAAATACATTTAGAACTAATAAAGAGAACCTATGTGAAAAACAAAAGCGAACATCTGAGCATTATTGAAGAACGAAAATAAAAGAATTTACGATCAACTTTTATTATTCGACTCTGATGATGCCGATGATGATGATGATGATGATGATGATGATAATTGTGGTGGTTCTTTACTTTTTTCTCCTGTTACCAATTGATGATTTGCATTCGATCCATTGGCAACAGTTAATGATGTTTCACGAAATTCATCAAGTGGATTAGTAAAGGCATCATCAAGACCAGCCATAGTTATTAATTCACCCAAACTATAAATAAAAGAAAATTTTTTATTAATTAAATAAATAAAAGAAATTTACCGTTTTGATCGAAGAAAATCAAGAAATTTTTGAAATTTTTGAAATGTATTTTCAACTACAGCACAAAAATGATCTTGTTCCCGTTGTGCTAGATCATTTTTTGCTAAAACCTAATCAATAAAAAAAACAGCTATTACTACGATCTCTGCGAGATAAAAATATGACACATGATATAACTATTATTGCTATCTACAGAGAAATTATTTCGGAATACATTTCTTCAACATCGTTTTACGTAACCGTTTAGAAATATAATAAGAGAACAGTTCATATACTAAAATGAGACGTTATTGATATGCAGTCTTTAATCATATATCAACAACGCCTGTGATAGTAACTAGCTAGCTTTTGTCACGGTCTGTGTGGGAAGGCAGTACAAATTTCTATCCTATAGTACTTCAGCACTTCTTATAGGCCATGTTTTACAATAAAAACACAAACTAATTGGTCCTCTTTTTATTCTTTTTACTTGTTGAAGTTGTTCTTCTAATTGTTTTTTAGCTTGACGTTCTTCACGTAATTTACTTTCTAATCTTTGTATTCGACTCTATAACAAAAAAAATTTCATAAAATCTTATTCTGACATTCGTTATAAAATAACATACGATTGGATTTTCTTTTATTGATTGTTGTTGTTGTTGCAAATCACCACCAATACCAGCACCATAAATCGATTCTTCTGATGAATGAAAAGCACGTGTTGGTAATTTAGGTGGAAATCCACTAGTCAAAAAAAAAAGAAATTTTCAAATAAAATTATATTTGAAAAAATTATATTTATAAACATACGGCAATCGACTTGCACGAGCAGCTGTTCTCCATGGTATTCCATCACTTCTTGGTTCAGTTGAAACTGATCCAGTTGATTTACTACGTTGTAATTTAGTTGGATCAATCGGTGTTTTAGGATTAAAATAAGCTGGTCGATTAGCACCTGTTGTTGTTGTTGTTCGAGCAATTTTTGAACGTGGACGTCGAGGAGATTCAAGTTTTAACCATTTATACTTAATATTAAAAAAAAAAGATGAATTATTTATTTTATTCTTTGGAATTAAATACAAACTTCACATAAACGATCATCTTCACAATTAATTAATAATTGTTCAATTAATTTTTCCATTATATCACGATCGACAAGAGGATTATTACGAATATCAATTATATGTATCAGACTATTGTATTTAGCTGCATTTAAAAATTCTTTTGCACCATTTGTTGATATTGCGCAATCTTGAAGATCGAGAGCTGAAACAAAAAAAAATAAGTATTGATTTATTTAAAAATAAAGAAATTTTCTTTTATTTTCTTAGATATTTATAAACCAAAAAAGAATAGAAATATTTGCAAACTTTAAATTCAATTTTCTTTTTGCATGATATTGTCTATATGTCGAAAGTGAAATAAAGTGAATAAAACATTCTATTTCCTATTCAATAGACGTAATGATCGATATTTGTGAGGCAATATCCACAATTCAGAAATTACCGATTCAAGGAAATGATGGGTGGCTGTGGTCGTAAATTTAATTGAGGTGAGTGTAGAAAAGACAGTTACACTGTTCCTGGAGTTCTTTGATTTTCCTTGACGTCCGCGGTAGTCTGAAAGGTGTCTTGAATTGCGAATTTCTGTATCGTGAGTAAATATCCTACCGATTAGTTATGCACAGATCGCAATGTCTGTTGGGATCCTAGCGAAAGAGTTGTTCAAACAAGGATATCCTCGAAGTAGTTGGTTACAATCCTACAATGCGTCATAATATTAACGAAAAACTATTATTCTTTAAAATACGTTCACAAATGTCTGCATTCTTTAATTGAATTATTTATCTTTGAATATATCAAATAAATGCATACCCTTAATCCAAAGATCAGCTTCAAGTACTTCAGCTAAAAATGTTGCACCACGATCAGCAATTAGTGGATTTCGATTAAGTGTTACACGTCGTAAACCAGACATATGATCAAGCATTGGATTTTGATATGGTAAACTTTCTTTTTGTTGATGACGAAGACTTTCTTTCCAAACATCTGTATGACGTCGATTTCCTTGTTGCTAGAAAATCAGAAAAAAAAAACAATTTTTTACTTGATCAAATTTGACTTTAATCTTTTTTCTCATCGTCATGAAATCGAATGAACACGTGTTTTACAACAACCACAAATTATTTTGATTCAGATGAATCGAGAAGTGAAACAGATGTTACAACAATTGAATATGATTCATTAGAACTTACAAATTTAAAATAATAATCAAACAACGACATTGTTAATATTAATTAATTCAGTTCAATTACATATTAATAAAAGAGCAAACAACTCGATTCACAACTAATTGAAACTTTGTTCGAATTAGTCTTAACATGTAAATTTATCAGCTTATTTCGTGTGAGTTTTGAGAATATAATTGAAAATTATACTCATTAACTTACTCTAATAAGATCAGCAATAATATGTGCACCTTGACTGGTGAGTGAACAAGCTGAAAAATCGACTTCACGAATTTTTGGTGCTTGATTCAAATGTCGACAAAGAACTGAAAGAAAGAAATATGAATTTTTTTTTGTATTCTTCTTTTCAAAGATTTTCAACTAATAGAATTTTCTTACTATCAAGTCCTTCATCACCAATGGGACTATTGGTAAGACGAAAATGAACGAGTGATTTACATTTTGCAATACCCTTTAAACAATAAATATATTTATTTGAAAGATTAAATCATTTTTTCATTCTACTTGAGCTAAAATTGTTAAATCTTTACGTCGAAATGGAAGACCATCAAATTCAAGTAAGACAAGTTCTGTTGTTATTAAAAGACTATCTTTAATATGTGTACAAATTTTTGAAAGTAATTCTTTTGATTGAAATATTGGTGGACGTTTTGAAGCAGATGAAGCTCGTTTTAATGTTCGTCGTTCAGCTAATATCGAAAAGAAACACAAATATTTGAATTCCTTGCTTTTTTTGTTTCACACAAAAAAAAACAAACCTTCAGCAAAATTATTTGATAATGAATTATAATATTGGCTACGTAATGTAAGAGAACGAAGTGTTTTACATGTTCCAATAGCAGAACATAATGGTGTCCAATCATCAAGTCTAAATAAAATAGTTTTGAAAAATGAAACTAAAGAAAAAAATACATTTAAATACATACCGAAGATTATCAGTATCTAAATCAATAATTCCCGAATCAAGTTTTATTTTAACAACTGATAAAGGTAATAAATGATATTGACGACAATAATCATCATATTTTGAACCGAAATCACATGGAACATCTGATGTTGTTTTAGTTATTGGATCAACACGCATAATTTACTTTTTAAAGAATTACTAATAATTGAAGAACATTTTCTTTACTCTAGAAGAAATTAAGATATGATGCTGTATAACAGTTTCGTTTGCGGTTATCGCTGACTGGATGAGCAGAACAAGGCACCACATTATCCATGTCGCTAAGTAAATATCCTCAATATCAATGGATTACTTTCTTTAATTATTCAATTGAATTTTTGTATTTTTCGAATACTCATTTCTTTTTTTCTTTTCTTTTTTTTTGTATAAAAAATTATTTCAAATAAATTTTATTGACATAGATGGCGTGATTATTTTAATTTTATTTTTTTTACGATGCAATCGGCTTTGTTTTTGCTTTTGATTGCCTACCCTGGACATGACTTATACCTGCTGTTGCAATAACATGAAAGAAAAAGAAAATATTGCACATACCCATGTTGTTCTTACACCATCAACTGTCAATTTGGTTTTTTTTATAAAAGTGAATCAGCTGACTCTATCTGACATTTGTTTGTCTTTCTTTCTCGTAGCTTGTGCAACGTTATTTCTTTCACAATCTGCTGTTGTTTTAGTCATTACCTTTAAATACTCGGGTCATCTTATTTTTTCCTTTCATTTTGTTTTTAAACGCCTGATATTATTCTCAATAGTGAGCAAAAGAAAATGGCTGATTCAAAAAAGCCATCAACGGCATCCTCATTATTGTCTACAACAAATTCACTCTTGTCGACAAAAAATTCTACGCTTAGCAATAGTTCATTACTTAAAGGCTCGAATCTTTTATCATCATCAACAATTAACACAACAAGTTCACTTTTATCAGAAACAAGTACAAGCAAACCATCGAGTCTTCTTTCATCATCAAATTTATTGAGTACTCTGCATAAGCCATCATCGTCATCAACTCTATTAAATACTTCATCTAAACCATCATCTTCATCAATTCTATTAAGTACTCCTCCTAAATTATCTTCATCAACTATATTAAATACTGCTCCTACATCATCATCATTTCTCTCCACCGTGAAATTATCTACTAATAATACATTGCTTTCATCATCGAATTTAAATAATTCATCTTTGTTAACAAGTGAAACAAGTTTAAGTCGAAAACGTAAAGCCGAACCTTCAGAATCAACACTCATAAAGCAATCATTAACTCCAGAAATTTTAAATAAATCTACATTGATAACAACAAAAACAAGTACACCTGTTTCACTCTCGGATAATAATGAACGCAAATATAATGCTGAAAATATTCAACCAGAACCAATTCGTCTTGGTATTGATTTACATTGTCATGTTCCACCACCAAAACGTCCTCGTATTGATCCATTTTCTTCAATCTATGCTAAACTTGAAAGTCAAAATGTAAATGATGATGATTTCAATGTTGGCATTAAATCAATTAAGGTTTGATATTGATTGGTTTTTTCTTCTAGAAAAAAATTTATATCCATTATTTTTTTATAGAAAAGTTTTCTGAATTCATTGGCTGATTCATTATTAAGTCAACCAGATCTAAGAAAACAAACAGATTCAAAACGAAATGAACTTATTCGTCTTGCTAATTTAGTAACTGAACAAGATCCAGAATTTATTCTTAAAGTAAATTAAAATACAACCAGAAATGTTTTATTTATCGAAAATAATTTTTTGTTTTTTTAAATTTTAGGCTGCTCTTTATACACGAAATCATTTAAATATTCGTATAACAGCAAATTTTCTACTTGCATATGCTGCGTATACCGAACCATGTCGTATATTTTTAAAGAAATATTTTCAAATAACTGTTAATTTACCATCAGATTGGATTGAAATAGCTGAACTTTATCAAACATTTTTTGATAAACGTATTCATTTTGGTTCATTACCATCTGCATTACGTCGTGTTATGGTAAAAAAATTTCCTGATTTTGATAAATATCAACTTGCAAAATATAATAAAGAAAAAGCTCGTTTGAAAAAAGCAAAAAAGGCTAATACAGCACAACCTGCAACAACAACTAGGGGAACTCGAGGAAGAGGTGGTTCGTATTCGAGAGCTGGTGCTCGAGGTTCTCGATCCATGCGCGGTGGAAGGAGAACAAGTCGAGGATCTTCAACCGATTCGAATGTGAGTGTTGCATCAGTAGATCAAAAATCAGATAGAGCAACAGGAAAACCTATGGCACAAATTACTGAAGAAGAACGTGAAACACGACGAATGGCATTCACATTAAAACGATTAATTCGTCAATTACATATTAGTGAACCTGTTGAACATGTTTGGTGTCTATTAGGTAAACGATATCCTGAAACATCCGAACTTTTTTATCAATCACGTTTACCTGGTGTATTCGAACCAGAACGTGCAAATAAACGTATGAAATTACCAACACCAGAAACGTGAGTAAAATTAGTTTTCTTTATTTCAATTTTTCATTTCACAAATATTTTTCTTTTAAATATAGATGGGAAACACAAATTAGTCTGAAAGGAAACAAAGCTGCAGTTTGGCAACAATTGATCGATAATAAAAAACTTCCATTTATGGCTATGTTAAGAAATTTACGAAATATGATTAAAGCTGGTATGTATTGAGAAAACTGATGGAATTCATCGAATATGATTTTCGTAGTTTTCTATAAATTATAATAAAAAAGAAACAAATAATCTCTATTTTAATCTTTTATTTTTTTTTAGGTATTTCTGAGAAACATCATCAATGGGTATTAAAAAAACTTCAAGATGATGGTGCAGTTATATATAGTCGTCAATTTCCATTTCGTTTCTTTTCTGCATATCAAATATTGGATGAACTTGAAGAAGAATTTAATAAATGGTGTGCAGCTAAAGAAACAATAGCTAGTGTACCAGATGTTAAAAGTCGACGAATAACACGAAAAGAAAAAGGCAAAAAGACTGCTTTAACTCCATTAGAAAAAGCTAAAAAACTTGGTTCAAAAGAAATCCAATATGATCTTGCACTTTTACAACGTTATAGAAAAGCACTTGATTGTTCAGTTAAAATAGCAACTCAACATAATTGTCAACCAATACCTGGTCGAACATTTGTTTTTTGTAATTTAAGTCAAGCAATGTCTCAACCATGTCAAGCAGCTAAAGGTTTAGGTAAACCACGAACACGTGCTGAAATAGGTCTTTTAATGGGTTTAATGTGTAAATCAGCATGTGAATCAAGTCAATTAATTATTTATAAAACAAAAGATAGTTTTACTGAAATTGAACAAACACCACAAGAAACAATACTTAATCAAATGACAAAAATTTTATCAAATGATCAACTTACAGCATCATCATCATCATCAGATGTTTGTATACCACCAACATTTCTTACAAATATGATTGCTGAAAAACAATGGTTTGATAATATGTAAGTAATGAAAAAGAATCAACAAAAATAAATTTAATTTATCTTCTTGTTTTTTTAGTATTATTGTTTCAGATGGATTAAAAGCTGATACAGCTGAATCAGATTTTGTTTATCGATTTCTTTCACTTTATCGTTATTTAGTCAATCCTGAACTTATGTTTGTCAGTATTGATTTAAGTATAGCTCAATGTTCATTAACAAAATCAGATCGATTTAATAATCGAAATGATATATTTTTAAGTGGTTTTTCTGATTCAATTTTAAAATTTATTGCTGAACGTGGTAATGATGGACAATTATTACATGTTGAAAATATTGATAATGCACATAATCTTAATCAAAAAACTGAATCAAAAAACGATTCACAATCAATAACAGATTCATCAAATGAAGAACAATCAAAATTGTCTACAAACTTACCAATGACTACATTAGTACCACGTTGGCGAACAGTACGTGTATTTATATCATCAACATTTAAAGATATGCATGCTGAACGTGATCTTCTAACACGTTATGTTTTTCCTGAATTACGTCAACGAGCAAAAAGTCTTTTTGTTAATCTTTATCAAATAGATCTTCGATGGGGTGTTGCAGAAAGTCAAACAAAACAATCTGTTTTCTTATGTCTTAATGAAGTATATCGTAGTGATTATTTTATTGGTTTAGTTGGTGAACGTTATGGTTTTATACCAAAAACATATGATGTACCAAAAGATGATCCACGATTTACATGGTTAAATAAACTACCAATTGGTTCTGGTATAACAGATTTAGAAATGCAAGCTGGAGCACTTAATTCATCATCATCATCAATAAAACAAAATCGAGCATTTTTTTATCTTCGTGATCCAAAATTTCTTTCAAATATTCCTAAACCATGGTCTGATGATTTTATTTCTGAAGATGATAATTCACAAATAAAAATAAATAATTTAAAACAACGTATACGTTCAAGTGGTTTTGAAACATTTGATGGTTATCCATGTTCATGGCAAGGTATATCAAATGATCGACCACTTGTTACTGATCTTGAACAATTTGCACAACGTGTTATTGATAATTTATGGACATCATTACAAGAAGAATATAAACCTGAATATGTTCTTTTAGATGATAATGAAATCGAAGATAATCAACATCGACAATATCGTATTTCATTTATGGAACATTTTGTTAGTCGAAATAAAATTCTTTATGATACAATTAAATCTATTGGAAAATCATCGATTATTCTTATTACAGGACAACAAGGTTCAGGAAAAACAGCAACTACTGCAGCTATTGCTAATAATATTTTATCAAAAGTCGATTTAAATGTTAAATTATATGAACATTATGTTGGTATTACACGTGCATCATTAAATAGTCTTGCAATGCTTCGTCGTTTACTTTGTCAAATGATAAATGATCAGCCAGAATTAGTAAAACAATTTCCAATTGATAAAATTCGTACAAGTTCATATACAGATTTATGTAAAATTTTATCCGATTTCTTTCGTATGATAAAAAATCCTTCAAATATTGTTATTTGTATTGATGGTATTGAATTACTTGATAATGATACATTAGTTCATACATTAAATTTTATTCCAAAAGATTTTAATTTTGAGAAAATAACATTTATTATTAGTGCTAC